TCTGTCTGTCTGTCTGTCTGTTTGTCTGTCTGCCTGTCTGTTTGTTTGTCTGCCTGTCTGTTTGTTTGTCTGTCCGCCTGCCTGCCTGCCTACCTCTCTGTCTGTCTGCCCGTCTGTCTGCCCGTCTGTCTGCCCGCCTACTTGCCTGCCTGCCTGTCTGTCTGCCTGTCAGTCTGTTTGTCTGTCTGCCTGTCTGTTTGTTTGTCTGCCTGTCTGTTTGTTTGTCTGTCCGCCTGCCTACCTGTCTGTCTGTCTGCCCGCCTGCTTGCCTGCCTGCCTGTTTGTCTGTCTGTCTGCCTGGCTGTCTGTCTGTCGGCCTGTCTGTTTGTCTTTCTGTCTGTCTATCTGTCTTCCATTTGCTCGGTGCACTCCTTCATTTCTTTATCCACTGTTTAAATTGCTTTTTTGTAATCATTTTCCTTGATAAGGGTATTCCTGGACCTAGTGGACCCCGTGGCGAGACAGGATCAAGTGGACCCCCGGTGAGTTTTTTACGGGTTTGGTATCATTTCTTGGGTGTTGAATTTTACATGCTATTACGTCATCACGGCTAGACTGGAATTAAGCTTTTTTAGACGTCGGATAATTGAATGCCAACTCTTGGGCTTATTCCTTATGTCACAAATCAAACTTCCTTTTCCATGATAGACCACGCGTGCTGACGAGCCTCATACGCGCAACAGAAAAATTCGGGTTACCACAACCGTTAGTTATACATGTATGACAAAAGTTAAGCGTAAAATTAATTCGTATCCGTGCGAAAGATGGTGAAGATCGTGTAATCTTCTATTGCGAAAGAGACTACTAGAAATATGTATGTCAACACTTCAGAACTTCCTCGGAATATATTCAAAACTAGAGAGGGCTTATCCTCTCTCCATTCGAAACGATTTTGGAAATATTCGGAACGACATTCGAAATTTTCGGCGTTTACTAAAAGCTAAGTATGCTCAGGTACATCTGGTCCTGATGCGACAAATCTTTATCCCTTGAACAAAAAAATGTTGGCTGCTACCCGGACTAAACAGCAGACTTTGATTCATACTGTCAAGTTGTACTCAGCTGCAGAACGAACACAGAATGCGCTGAATTGGGCATGTACAACACCGCAAATAACGATGATAGAAGTTTCAGAAGACCCTCGTGCCGACCTACCGATGTTTCAACACAAAGGACTAACCAGTTTGTATCAACCGAGTCGACAAGAAAGCGCGAGCAAACGCAACCTAACCGTCAAAAGAAAGTTATGACTGCCGGAGGTTCTGTTTTTAAGCACCTTCAAAGCCATAAAATGTCTAGAAATTTAAGAGTAAAGGTATCCTCCTTCCCGGGATGTACGAAGGAAGACATGCATGATTTTATAAAGCCATTCTTACGAAAGGAACCAGGCGAGATCATGCTTCATGTGGGGACTAACAGCCTAAGATCCTGCCACACCCCTCGTGCTTGTGCTGATGAAATAATCGACCTGGCCAAGATGGTTAGCTGTGAATCTCCAACAAAGATTGCGTTATCAAGTCTTGTGTGTAGATCTGATGATGGAGCCTTGGCTTCCAAAATAGCTGAGGTGAACACAATTCTCAAAAATTGCTGCACCCTGAAGAGCTGGGGATTTGTTGATCATTCAAACATTTCTACCTAACCGTAGCGGTCTTCATCTAAACAAGTCTGGAACCTCTCGTCGTGCCCAGAATTTTACAAATTATTTAAGCTTAGATTAGGATATTGCCGTCTGGGAATCGGATTCGACTGATGCCCGAACGTGCGATGACATGGGTAAGTTCAACTATTCTAGTATTTTTGGGCGAGGTTTGGTCATCGCCTCTCTTAATATTAACAGTTTGCTCTCTCACATTTGACGAATTTAGAGTTTTCATGTACGACTCTAAAGTTGATATTCTGTTGAATTAGACTCAACTGTTCGTGACAGCGAAGTTTACATACCCGGCTTCGAAATAGTTAGAAAATACCGTAGAGCAAATGGAAGGAAAGGGGGCGGTGTTTGTATTTATTTACGCACAAATCTTAAGAGCGAATGTTACCAACGGTCAAACATTTGGTGGCAACAGCCAAAAAAGCGATTCGCCTCATATTCTCAAGTTAGGTAGGCCTTATGGTGAAACAAAGCACTGCATACTTCGTTTGGCTAAATATCGATTTATTTTCGAGAAAATCGATAATAACTGAATTTCGACCAGAGGCCGCTTTTGAAGCTCAAAATTTCAGACGAATCTCGGAGCGTCGCGCCACGAATTGAAAACACTTAGACCGATAAAAACTACCAAATCTTGAAAAACAACATCAATACCATATGTCCACAGCAATTTGAGCAATTCTTGATCTTTTGTTTACGCAATCTAACTGAATTTAACCGACCTTCTTCTAGCAAGATTAAAAATAGGTCAAAAGTAACCCGTTATTTAACTATGTGCTATACAAAATAATCGACTGAAAATCTGGCTTTTGGAGGGCGGTGTGTGGTTCTTTTCGATCTCCAAATGATTTTTTGGGGAAATGATTCAGTGTGATTTAATAAAGTTATTTAGTATTCTTGCCCAAGAAGGTAGCCAAGTAGCGATCTATCTCCCTCAAATGTGGTCGAGCCCAAACCCATTAATGCATTATATGGCGAAATATTATAGAGCGTGGCTGATGCGTAATGAAAAATTTAACATAAGCCTGTTGTCTGGTCAGACCAGAATATTCACGCCCATCGGGAAAAGATTGACATCTAGATTTAACCAGAAAAAAGAAAGTAAACAAATCCATGTTGTCCCTATCTCTTCAAATCCTTCCTTCCAAGATAATAATATTTAAGAAGTGAATGACTACTTCTTATAGAAGTCCAAAGCCAATCAATGCATCATATGGCGATATATTATTGAGCATGGTTTAATATATCAGAAAGAACTCTGCCCCTCGAACCAGAGCCTCTCGGTCACCCCAAACCAAGCTTTACACTAAGCGAGGGACAAATTGTCATGAAATGTATGTCAGCAGGAGGAGAGAATATGGCTGCTCGGCTAAGAACTAGGTCAACTTCGTCTTTTGGCCCGGAAAAACCGAGACGAGCCGAATTGCTCTTAATCCGCCTTGAGCAGGCAAGAAGAGGTATAATTACTGTTTCCCGTTTTCTGGATCGTCTGTCGAAGTCACAGTGAACTCTTACTATAGTTTTGAACGATCAGCAGATATCCTTGTGAGGAGCACGACACGCAATGCTGTTGCAGAGTTCACATCTTTTCTCTGCAATTCATTTTATTAGTAAAACGAAAATGCCAGTTTCAAGGTATTTCTGTAATTAATCAAACAATCAATAGAGATTAAAATAATAAGGAAGAGGAAACAAATACGATTCAATTTTTCAGCGTCTTAAAAAGTACTTGTAAATTATATAAAATCCTTACCTCTACTCGAAACAATTGGTAGATTTGACTGTAACTCGTTTTAAATATTACATACCGTCAACAGAAGAAAATTTAGTAAGAGTGCAGGGAAGTTGAAAACTTATCAACGGTAAAATACAATACTTTGGTATTGTAGCAAGCAGGGGTTTTAATCACTGAACTAGGCTTATCTTTCGTTCTTTTTGTCCTAAAATGAGCTTTACCAAGCTAAACAATACAATACAATACCGCTAAAGAGGGGTTTTCGGTGACAGTGATCTAAAAATTACAAATTTACAGTACTACAAAGTATAATAGAAAAATTAAGGAAGCTAAAATGTTGATAAATGTTCGCCAAAGTTACAACAAAGAGCGATGAGAAACGAAAGCAGCAAGTAATTTAACTCTAAGTTAACGCTTAAAATCACGAGAAGAATTACAGAGTTTGAGGGTATTATCTAAACTGTTCCATAGACTTACTGTAGGATAAAAGAAAGTCCTTTGTCCAGATTTAGTTCTATACAGGGGTATATGCAGAAGTTGGGAGCCTCTGGTCGTGCGACCCCTTATCTCACCACGTGTTAGAAACTTCGAGGAAGTTTATAAATAGGAGCGGAGCCGGTCATACATTTAAAAGCAAGTACAGCGTCACGGAGATATAGCTGAGATTTAATAGGTAGCCAGTGCAGTTCTCTCAGAAGCGGAGTCACGTGGTCAACTTTTCTGAGACCACAGATAATCCGGGCTGCAAAATTCTAGACCGCTTGTAGTTTGAGAAGGTTGGTGTCTGCTGTATTGGACCAGACGGAGGAACAATAAAATAACTTACCAAACACTAAAGTGTTAATTATTACCAATAAGGTCGATCTGTCAAACACTTGCTTAACACGATTAATTTAAGCTAAACTTGAGAAGCAAGAGGAAACTGTTTTAACAATATGCTTTAACAATAACTTACAAAATAAAGATATGAACTCAATAAGGATCGGAGTTAAATAATTGTTTGCTCCTGTTTCCTTTATGTAACACTCGACCTTAGTTCCTGTAGCCACGTGCTTCACAGTCCAAAGTTGTATTTTTGCGGAGTTGTCGATTTCTGTGGACCATAATTTTGAATTAATTAGCGTTATTGCGCACACGAGAAACATAATTCTGAACTAGCAACATTTCGCCAACATTTGGTTCGCGGTTTAGTCAAAGACTTATATTTAAAGTT